TGCCGTTACAGCTCGAATTCGCGTGTTAATGTCACGAATAACCGTGGGATCGACGGATATATATACATGTAATGTGGAATTCTCGTCGGTATCCTCAGAGGTACCGAAACTTCAGAAGGTTTCGGAAATCTTAAAAATTATTTACGTTGCTCAAGTGTAAGCGGATGCGATGATATGAAAGTATTAAATTGTTAGTAGATGTATAGTAAATAAATTTTAAATCTTTGATATCACATGTGTCATGTGGTTTGCTGCAATTTAAAAAATTGGAACAAAATTGAATTTTGTTCTGTCGCGACTCTATTTAAGTAGTGTAGCTTACTCATCAATTTTTCCGTATAAAATTTGGAATTTTAGTCACGTTTTCGGAGTCAACTTTGGATCCCCGCGGATTACCACGTTTGAGCCAGAATAATGTAGGTAGATTCAGGTGTTTTCGAAATCGAATTAAGGAGATTTAATCCACATGCGGTCAATTTTCCGAGATAATTAATAACGGAAATGTCGTCGGATTCTAGTTTGTTCGCCAATCGATGATCATCAATATTTATCTTATTCATTCCTTGTTTTAAGAGATTATTTTATCACACGTTCACGAAACGGAGAAATTGTGAAGTCCACCGGACATAACAATTGTTTTGACCATTTATAACACAATTTAATAAAATTTATTTTATTGTTAATAAAATTTTTATTGGCGGCGTTACATCTATAGAGAAGTATAGTACTAGATTAAAGATTTAAGAGATAAAAAAATATATCAGAACTAAATAATTAGCCAGTATGAATTGCAACCATTGTAAAATCGCGACTTATCGTAAGTTATTTTAATGATCGTCGTTTCAAACCGAATATTATCTAATCGCCATGTGATTTGTCGCGACTTTAAAGATCGTGATTTCTTTATTTGCCGCGAGAAACGTTTAATTCCCTTCTGCTGAACGGAAGGGCAGTCACCTGTTCAGGAAATCATTGCTCGTCGTAATGAGTTATCCTTGTCTTCCACGCGCGTGTATAAGATCTAACGAGTGATTCATCGGGCGAGCCGCTTGAGCATTCCGCGCCACGCCGCGCCGTTTCCCGAACTCCTCGCAGGATCTATCGTCCATTGACCTGCACCGCCTTTGCTCGAATTTCTAATTAGCATGGTATAACGCGCTACTCATGCAACGATATGATAAATTTGCTTTAACACACGTTTGTAAATTTGTGTTCATATTCTTAGACACACTTCTTAAAAAGAAATATGTGTATATATATATATATATATATGTATATATATATTTAAAATCAAATTATACATATATATTCATCTCGCTGACAAGCTTACGAATTCTAAACAATTAATTCTGTAATGACATTAAAGATGGGATATTATTTCGAACTTTGTGATTTTTTAAGTGAACTTTCTGATAGTTTTCTGATTACGTTTTAAAAAATATGTATTAACGTAATGATATAAGAAAAAGCTTAAATTACAACAAGTACAATAAGTTAATAATTTTACTTTACTTGATTCATTTTTACGTCCCAAATTTTCAACAATTTTCACGAGGTTCAATATCACTTTTAAAGAGAGAAAAGCATTCCCAGAAAGCACAGAGAGTTTAAAAAGAATTCAGTCGTATATGTCATCAATCCTGAATTAATTTTCATTGCAGATGCAAAAAGAGTTTTTTTTGTAAAAGTTCTGAAAGAGAATTTTGTTTTGCACCTGAAAATAAATTCAGAATTGATGACATAAGACTGAATTCTTTTTGAAATTTTGGTACTGTCTGGGTACATAGAAATATACTATCATGGAATTAAGGATACTTTTAAAGAGAAAATGATGTGTGAATTATTTGTATTTTCGTTCGCTCAAGACGTTGAATTCGTCGTCGTTGCATTCCGCGTGAAGATTCTCTAGGTGGTGCACGAAGTTGCATTGCTGCACGCATCAGCGGCTACGCACGTGGAATACCTAAAACTCGAATCACTTCCCAATCGCGCCCGTGAATCACCCGTGCGTTTTGCGCCCGTTTCTAATCGCACGCGATCGATTAAGCACCGGTGTTGTGTGTCGAAGCTGGTTGCTCAAGCCCGACCTTGATCGATCTGTATCTCGCACCTGTGCGGCGCGGCGTAGCGCGCGTTTTAGAGAAATCGGGTATTTACAAATACAGCAAATATTCGAGTCGCGCTCGTGTTATCCCTTTTGGAATTGATAACGTACGTTACCGGAAGCCACCGATATCTCGTTAGGTAAATTAATCGCCGACCCGCGAAACCGGTTAATTATCGCGAACGCCTACGCGTTTGTGACGCTCCGCATGGAGGTTTGCGTTCAAATGCCCCTCGCCGAGATACGCGTAAAATTATGTTTGTTACGCCTGTAACGGACACAATGCCTTAGTGACGTCGTAATTTCCTACTGCAATTGCACTACTTACTCAAGTACTATTAATCAATTATTTACAATAACTCCCGTTATTAACTTGATCAGAGAATAATGGCAGATGGCCATTTGGAAAACCACGTGATTATTGAGAACTAAATATCCATACGTTTCTAATAATAGATGATATACATATATAATTATAAACAAAAAAAAAACAAATGAATAGCTACACTTATAAATGATAGGGAGATAAGGAGATAATCTCCTAGTAAACAATAAAGATTGAATCACACAGTGAAATATTTCTTTAGAACAAATTTCGAAGAAAATTGTTTCAAACAATCGTATTTTTTTTCTACCGATATTGTTTAATTCGACAAAATTACATAATTTGCATTGAACAAAATAATGTTTTAAAATTCCATTATTTCAACGAAATAAATGTAAGACTATACAAACCGGCCATACAGTATACTAAATGTAAAGAAGTGTTCTTTCTCTATGTATCGATCATTATTTGTCGAAGTTGGCAAATGTCGAAATATCAAAATCAACAGAGCACATAAAAGAAAACTACTTGTCACGAGAATGTAATTTATCTGTCTGTTGTTTCAGAAGTGTTTCCCTTCGTCGAGCACACGTGTCGCGTGGGACCAGAAGAATGCAAGGTGCACGCTGGAGACTGCGCAGAATACACGAGACTGCGGGAATGCTGTTGCTACTCGTACTTGGCCTCTACCTGTAAGCGCTGAAACTTTTCTCGGCGTTCCGTAAATCACGAAAAGTGTTTTATTGTCTCTCCCTTGTCGTAAATTATACAATTATTAAAGTTATACGGTAATAATCGTATAGAGTTGTCTTCTTATAGCGACATAATATTATAGCGATATTGCGAAATGTGAGTTCAAAAGATGTGCGTACGTTTTATGGATGCACACACATGCGAATTCGTTAAAACTTTGTCCAGACGATTAAACGATAATCTCAGGGATCGATAAAATAACTGATATGATTTATTTGAAATACAAAATACAAAAAAAAAATAGATTCCACAACCATTTTTAAAATATTAAATATGAAATAGATAAAAAGAAGTTATTTAGAATAATAAATACTAAATAACTCTTTTATTTTTGTTTTTATTTAAAATACATATTTTTAATATTTTAAATACAATTGACTCCTGGATAATCTATACATATAATGCCGATAGAAGAGGCATTTTTTTATCTCGTCTGGTTTCGTGATACGAACAGCAAATTTTCTCAGAGTACTGCAAATATAAATTATTATTTTTAGCTTTATTATAATTTTGTGATATGATATCGTAGTAATGTCGTTCATAATCTCGAGGGTATCGATACGTGAAGGCAAAAATACGCTTCAGAATCATCCGATCCGGGAACTATGCTCGAATTACGAACCTTTTATCGCACGCGGTATGAATGTGTCGGTTTGAATTGAATCCGATGGTGATCGTATTGTGAGAGATTTGAGATATTCTATAATATCGATTATACCTATATCAAAGAATATTTTCATCAATTCTATCTATCTTAATTTTTTTAAACAGAATATTTTGTTTTGTCTTTTTAAACATGATTTATTCGTTGGATTTCTTTTATCATCGCCAACAATGATATTTGAAATAATTCTATTTGCAATTACTCTTATTTCAAAATATTATTTTATACATATTATTATATAATTATGATATATTATTATAAATGCATTGTAACAGCAAACTAATAAGAATTTTTTTTGCAGGGAAATACCTGGCGACTGGCGTAGGATCACGAGCCAGTATAAGTCTCACCAAGTTCATGATGATCCTAACGATTCTCAGGTTATATCTGTTGTTGGCCTAAAACTGACAGTACCAAAAATGTTGTATATTATTAATTATTTTAATAAATTGTTTTTACATCGATCGAAGGAGACAGGCAATTCCTCGCAATTTGATAAGAATGATATTGATTCTAGACTTAAATTAAGAAAATGAATACATATAGAACTCTGTCATTATAGCGTAAAGTGAATGAAATTTGAAAGCGAAGAAGATGATATTATATATATATGTATATATATATATTTTTTTTTTTAACAATTTTTTAAGACACATTGATTATAGAACAGGTACTGATATATTGTGATAATAAATTGTGTATATGTACAAATGAGGTTTATAAATATATTTTGCGCAAATCTTCAGAATTTTAATTATAAACAAAATATTATCAAGCTGACTGAGTTTCTGTAAATAAAAAAAATTATGAATCAAAGTTACAAACTACACCTGAAACAATCGTGTCTCTCTCACGAAATATATTGCGTAATACATCGCTGAGTAAGAAAGATTTAATGCAATGTTGAACGTTTCGTGGTAATATGATATACGAGACAAGATCGTTAGCGGCACGCGATCCATTGTCTAAGGCTTAATTGCTATTACGACAACATTTATTACATTCGCGACAAATAAGAGATATATTTATACTTTAAACGCTTGAATATCATTCCTACAAAGAATTTCCAAAGAAATTTTGAACAATTTCCAAGAATTTGCGTTAACGATTAAGTATAAAAATATAGATTTCTCTAATCTTGAAAATTAAATAATGGATAACTTTATTACGATTTAATATATTGAATTTTAATAAATATAATACACTTTGTGAATGTTTTTAAAAATTATATATTTGAGAGAAAAGATATGTTTGCTTGTAATAACAGAAGATTATAGAACAATTTTATGTTCTACGAAATTATAAGAAATATCAGCAGTTCTTTATCGCACTGAAATTTTCCAAAAATCTTAATTTAATAATTTTTATCAAAATTTAGTTATTATTTTTAAGTTTATTAAGTTAATTATATTTTAAGTTTGTTATGTGTGTAAATGTAAATGGCATTTATTCTAATATGCTTATGCTCACTCTAATGTATTCGGTTATAATCCGGCAGAATTTTTTTTCATCAAAGATATAAGAACGATTAAGCATGATAATTCTACGCAAAATAATTCTCTGGACTTTCTAGTTAATCCGTATCGTTCCGACCTACATTTCTCAATTTAACATATATGTTTAAATTCTAGTTTAAGATTAACATAGATATAGCGAAACAGTAAATTTTTTATCTGTATTGTCAAACATCACACGACATAAATTAATAACAAAATTTAAACTATTACGAGTTAATTGGAAAACCTAAATAATTGGTCTTTTATAAAAATTATCATTTTTTATTGATTAATTTTTTATTTTTTCTTAGAAAAAAATAAAGAAAAAGTTTATAAAAAAATTTTATATAATATAATATAATATAAAATTTTATTCTAATTTTTTATGTAAGGAAAAAAATTAATTAATAAGAAATAACTTATATGTATATAAAATACAAGTAAATAACATATATATGTATACAACTAAAACAATACATATAATATAAATTACAAAATATATAATTGCAAAAAATTAATGTACGAAAAATTTATATTTATTTGCAATTTAGTGCAATCGCAAAGTGGAGTATTTGAGAGACAGTTATTTTTATCTTACTTTTACTTTTGAGAAATTGATCTAATATTACATGCATTTTGTGACGACTGATACAATTATTTGCGAAGATAGCTGTTATTTCCCAACGTGTACAGTATCACTTTTTTTGCTTCGATTCACCGACACATTGGAAGAGAAAGATGATCGACCAGTTACGAGTAACGGGTACATCGACCGAGTTCTACGAGGAAGGCGAGACCCAGCTAAAAGATACGTGGGTTTACGAAAGAAATCGAAGAGCAGGGGCACTTCAGTAAACGATCTCATTTGTCTGAAAAATCTCAGTCGTGTCGAAAGCAGTGAGTGTGCGCGGAAACTTTGATCTCGTGTGATTTTTTTTTTAATGAGAAAATGTCACTATTGATTCTTCTCGGCGTTCTATTGCATTGTTGTGCATTTGGTGTATCGGGTGAGTTAATTTAATCAATCATTATTACATATTAAAATAAAATATTTTTTGACTTGTTGGAATAATTTTTAAAATTATTCCACTATTTTAACAAATTTTATACATTTTATCTGAATAATCTGAAATAATTTTAAAAATTATTCCAACAATTGAGAGGTTGTAAAATTATTGAGCATATTTATTGTATAATTTTGGTCAAGAAAGTGCTATATAAATAATATTTATTTGAAATAATAGTTGCAAAAATGCAATATAAAGATTTAGCAATTTTTGTTTAATAAAAATAAAATTAATAATTTCAGATAAAATGTATAAAATTTATTAATAAAATTACATGGTAATAATAATAAAAAATGGTAGTCTAATAATAATAAAAGGAATATATTAAAGATTAAAGCATGGATTTAAACACAAATGTTAAAAGGTTAATATTAAATTATATATATTCTTTATATGCAGAAGCTTTTGCATAAAAAATTTAATGTGTATTTAAGTTTATAAATTATCAATATTTAGATCGTAAATTTATAACAAATATTATAAAATATTAATATAAAAAATAATGCGACTTCATAAAGTATGTTATTTACAATAGAAATAAAAAAATCTTTATTTTCAATCACATATATATGTAGTCTTTTTAACAAATAAAAATTCTTTTTTAGATATTTTTATTATTGTTTAACAAAAAGTTCTCTTACGAATGTCTTTCAGACGAGCACGAGAAACTGGCAGGCGATCATGCATTAGGGGCAACAGATATGATAAACATGCCATTAACACCTTCATTAGAGAACAATATACGACAATTCCAAGGACATTATCCTTTTCCTTCACCCGGATACAGACCACAAAAGTAAGCTCATAAATTTTTGTTATATTCACTCTTATAAGATTAACATATTATATTATCAATATTTTGTATTATGCGATTTAGCTAACAATAAATATTTTACAATTAAATATGAAATATTAGATATTGTCAGTATAGATTATATCTTGGTTTCTCTACACGTCATAAGAATATAATTAAAAAATATAAGGACTAATCTGAAATTATATGGGTTGATTAATGCAACAATGGGGAAAATCGATATGTTAAAATCAATATTGTGAACTTCCAATGTTTGACACAGAATGTGTGTTTTGTAAGTTTTGTTGATAAGTTTTATTTTTATACTAAAATAGTTAATATTTAAGTTGTGTGTTACGAGAAGTGAAAATGATGTTTCTTAAGATATTAGACAGAAATTCGTAAAAAGTGAAGAAAGGAAGAAAACGTATATTCAGATTTAAAAAGCCTACGAGCAGTGAACTACTTATATTGAATCAAGCATTTGACAAATGTCTCTTTTAACGTTGGAAGCGTTTTAAAGAAACCATTCAGTATAAGTAACGAAACAAGAAATGTGCGCTTCCATGTAGCGTTTCGTGCAGCACTTTAGATAACTCTTGATAACGCAACAACGAAACGTAATACGACAGAACGAAACATAGAACACACATTGTTTTGGGACAATAAAAGTTGACAGTAAAAATTAGGTTTTGACATTGGTATTGAAGTTTTTCAATTCTATAAGTATGACGCTGTGTGTATAACGAGCAGTATTGAAAATTACAATTTTGATAACAACGTCTACGTGATCTTCTTCAATGGCGTAAAAATTAACAATTAGTTTAATAAAAACGGAGAAAAGACATATACATACATATCATATTTTTTGACATACAATATAAATATATATGAATATTAATTTAAAAAACAATTAATCCGGGAACAGTCACTTAGAATAATTTTACATCTCAGAAAACATGGATGTATAGTGAAACTCAGTAATGAATCACATGAGTTTTCTTTACTGATCGAAAATCCATACCTTTTTTTTCTATATCTCCTCACATTTTTTAGAAAATATCTAATAAATTAGTATATAATTTCAAATACTGATAAATTGTAGAACAATCAATAATATACAATATGTAATTAATAATATTATCTTTTAATAAGGATATAAAAAATTCCCCAGATGATTGTTTATGTAATAAAAAATTATTATTCTCGGGTTAAACATAATCTATATTTTAATTTCAATTTGAAAAAATTTTTATCTTAATATTTTCGTTACAGATGCCCTCTTTGCGACAGTTCGATTTATCCTTATTGCGGCGAGAAACTGTTGCACGACGCCTGCTGCTGTACCAATTCTCACGATTTACCTTATCAATGTAGATTAGCAGACTGTCGATTTCTGCACGCCAACAGCTGCATGGAGCATCGATTGATCGCCAATTGCTGTTGCAATGATGATTATCGCGCTTTTCTGAGGAGTCTCGAGATGCAATAAATCCATCGCACCATTTATCACTTGTGACAAAATTATGAAAGAATTAATCTTAATAATGAATAAAATCGATAATCTTCGCGCAATATCTATTAAAATTAAGCAATTAATTGTTAATGAAAATGTCAAAATTAATGAAAATTGATGTTAATGGAAATAAACAGAGATAATTACAAAAACCATTACAATGAAACATAGCTTTATACATATATATATAAAAATGATACATATATTATATAATATACACACTGGTCAACAAAATTATCACATAGGTAAATTTATATCAAAATTTTGCATAACTTTAGACAATTATAACTCCTCGAAAAATGATCGTATTGAAAAGTTTTTTTTTCCATTCTCAAGGATAAAGCTTGTACGCTTTTGATCGATTTTGAATCTACCTTTCCTCCCGTCATCTTTTGAAAAGTAAAGGCATGTTACGTCTCCAAAAAAAATTACATAATTTGACGCACTCTACGGGACGGAATGAATTTTTGTTGCAAATATCATGGTAACAATCTCATGGTAACAATGGTAAAGTTGGACTTTTTCTTACAAATTTGAAAAAAAATAAAACTTTATACCATTTTTTTTCGCGAAGTTGCGACATGTTAAAGTTATCATTGTATTTTTGTCTAATTACTGCCAGCATTAGCATTATCTGTCTAGTGTGCATCATAAAAAAGTTGATGGTCGAATTTTGCGCAATGTACGTGTGCGCGCTTGGCAGTAATTAGACAAAATGCAATGATAACTTTGACGTACCGTAACTTCGCGAAAAAAAATAGAATGAAGTTTTATTTTTTTTTTAAATTTGTACGAAAAAGTCCAAAAATCCAAACCTTTACGACGGTTATCATGACATTTGCGATAAAAATTCATTCCGTCCCGTAGAGTGCGTCAAATTATGTAATTTTTTTGAAGACGTGACATGTTTTTACTTTTTAAAAGATGACGGGTGGGAGGAAAGGTAGATTCAAAAATCGATCAAAAGCATCCTTAAGTACAGGCTTTACCCTTGAGAATAAAAAAAAATTTTGATACGATCATTTTTCGCGGAATTATGATTGTCTAAAGTTTTGCGGAATTTCGATATAAATTTACCTATGCGATAATTTTGTTGTAATATACCAGTATATATATGTACATATATATAAAACTATTTTTACGCCTAAAACATCATCACATAAAAAATAATGAAGACCTGTAATCGTATTTGTTGTCGACCAACATAAAATGATTCTCTTTAGTAGAATCGACCATTTAGGCTCGAATCCGTAAAAGTAAAAAATCGTATGGCCGCTTGATTGTGTTTAAGCATAAAGGCATTCGAGGCGTTCGCATCTCTGAAGACTAACGCTAATGCAGTTGGACCGCGCGGTCGAAGATATAATCTCGGTCACGGAACCCTCGGCGGAAGCGATTCGTCTTATCCGATAGAAAGACCAGGAGAGATGCACGAAACAATAAATCGCTGGGCCTGACTCTCGTCCCGTGGGTCGACTGGTTATCTCGTCGAAGGTCAATATCAAGGTCATACACGTGTCGAGATTCTGGGCTTTGAATTCACGTGCCTCCTCACTTTTCCCGCCGTGAACGACTACAGACTAAAAATCGACTGCATTCTTGAAACGTCCGGCAGTGCGAATCCTGCAACCGCGATTACGTTTGGATTTCGTCAAATGTCCGTAAACTGATACGGGCTCGGTAATTATAGGAAGGTTCCAGAGAATCTTAATTCTTCGTGCGATGTGTTCGATGACAAGTGTGACAATGGCGACAGATCAATGCAAGACGTGCGAGATTTCCTTGTGGGATAAGTTATTAAATCTTCTAAAAGGACAATTGGATTTAAAATACGTAGATATATTTGATAAGTCATACGAGTAATTTATTCTCATTTTCATATAAGTGGGTATTTAACGTCAAATTGCATAACGGACACGCGTGATCGTTGTCAATATATCACCCAATCTTCTTATTAAGTCTCTTATTAAAGATAACAATTTTATTCAACAGACGGGAGGGTTACGCGATATATTCAATGATCTTATGGCTTATTTTCGAAATTAAAATCGGC